TCGGGTACGCTCTGTGCCAACCGATGGTGGCGCTCAGCTTAGATAGTCCTGCCGGCACTAAAACCATCCTGGGCAGAACCCTGCTTCCTTATCCTGTAAAATCTCCTAAACTTGGTAGACTTTGAAGGATCTGGGAGGGTTAGGTTTAAGATTGAATGTTTGACACTTACTTAACAACTGTTTCCTTGGTTTCATTGGTAAACAGCAACCCTACATTGCCTTTCAATCTCCTGCTGATTATATGAAGTCCTTCCCGGTACTCACTTGCCCTGTCTTTTCCTAGAGCAACAGCAATCACCTTGTTTTTGCCATAGAAAAACCTACATATAAAAGTAAAGAAAAACTAAATTATGCCTCACAGGAAACATCTTGCATTCGCATCAAAAGCATCAAAACACAGGAAATATGAACTATGGAATGCCTTACCTGCTGTGTTTCCACATACTTCTGACGTCTTTAATTTTGCTATTTCGCATGTTCTCCACAGAAAAGATGAATATTCTGGCATATCTGTCAACAGATGCTCGGACCTATTATAAAATAACCAATTAGTGTGATACTGTGTAACTAGACCTTAAATACAGAATTTTAACATCAGATAACAACTATGTCTCTATGACTATATCTTCTAAGCGAACAAAGTTTGCATATACCCGTTTTAATCTAATATGAGCTAATTATGAATCACTCCAAAATGTTAAAACCTCCTACAATTGTCAATTTGACACTGACTGACCTAATTTCAGACTTATTCACTGTGACCGTTAATTCTTTTTGCACACGAGATGACAATCTTTAGGAAGGATTACTCTCAATCTTTGCAAAATTTACTTTATCGAATTATCAATACAAACTGGATGCTACAAACGTACCTCCTCGATAAGGTTCTGTTTCAATTCTAGGCCCTTCTTCCGAGTGTTTGTTAATGATACTGTGCATAAAACACGCAAAACACAAACAACAATGTGATAAAGCCTAATAAAGGTCTTAGAATATAGTAGTACTAACAGCACAGTGACCATCTCATGATTAATCATACATGGTCAGGTACGTATGTAATCAGCGATCGTTAAAATGTTAACTATGGACGTTAAAGGAGAAGGAAAATACTCTTCCTCTATCATGGCACAACACACTGACACCTGTTGTCTTACAATACATCAAGACAATGAATCTATTAAAAATAAAAAATATAAAACATTTAAAAAATATAAAATTTATTTATGAGTTAACATGGTTAATGGACACAATGACAATGTTAGGAAGCTGTTGTTGTTGTGTTGGCCGTAGAGGTTGAAAATCAAGACAAATGATGTGACGTTTAATTGTCAACACGGCACTGATCATCATCATGATCATTCATTCATGATTCGGGCATGATAGTCAGATTCGACGGGAAAATATTAACGTTAACCATGTTAATTATTTAAACTCCTTAAATACGTCGAAAACAATTTACTTTTTCTATCTCTTTTAGATTTCGGCATAGCTGATTTGTCAGATTGAGTCTACCAGTGTTATAGTGAGCAGAAAATATTAAAAAACGTCACGATTCCAGGTCGGACACACACATCGACGACGGTGCAATCGTCTTCGCCATGTGATTCAGATTCAGGGTTACCGTCATGTTGTCGTCTGGGTATGACACATATACTTATATGCGCAAGTAGGATAAGGATAATTGTACACGTTCATTTCCAATACAGGGTAACTGACTATTTTCATTACTCACCCGTAATATCCGAAGTGAGGATTTCGCCCAACTTCAGATGAAGCAATATTAGACTGGCTTCTTGGCCTTTTTAGTTTTCCCCGTTTGGCAGATATTTTGCCCCACGGTACCTAGTCTTGGGTCCAGACGCCCGCAGAACTCGACAGCGGACTCGATCGAGCAAATCATGGATGCAGTCCAGTATAGGCTGCTTGCGCGGGCCAAACCACAATTTGCATGGTCACAAATTTTCTACGAAATAGAGCATTTTGTTGCCCATGAACTTGAAAACTTGTTAAATAGAAATACCAGCTTGCGTCTGAGTGTCGGAGATTTGGAAGAAATCGGTGCCTTAATTAACGGCTCAGTTTTGCTATAAATACTATCCACTCTAAAACTTCCCCTCTGAGAATGCAAATTACAGAACTTTTTAAGGGGGCCCGGCCCCCTACTACATATATTCAGGGGAGGGGGACACTGGCCCCCTGCTCCCCCCCCGTTCCTGGTACGTCCGGGTAATAAGTCACACTGTACGCGTGATTCCAAATACCTGTTTCTTACTTAACTGTCCTATAAACATTTGCATCTAATGTATGTTAACGTTAATCAAAACATGTGTTTAATTCCTCCATGGTCAAAATGGCTTTAGGAGTTTTTTTCTTTCTTTTTTTTTTAATTGGCCAAAAAACTAAACACATAGGGCCTATTTTTCGTACATGTACGTATAATACATTGAGAACTCAACTACACGGGCATAAGAGATCATGGAGGAAGTACGTGCATGTGACATAATGGGTTCGTCAACTGTGCAGTCTGGGGGATCGACAGTCGCTGATTGCCCGTAGTACAGCTGAAAAACCTGAAACTTCATACACAAGTTTCACTTGTTAATTCACTGAAATTATTATTTAGGAACTAATTTTCTCGAAATTAAGAAGTTCTTAATTAGAAAATCAACTTGCTACAACGGGCTCTGGCCGACTTTTTTACGAGAAAAGATGTCGCTATTTGGAATTGGTTACCAACTCAAAAATCAAAACATGCACTTTCGAATTTTCTACTTTTCTGCCACCTCAAAAAGCAAAACGAACATTGTTTGGTTATGAATTTTTATATTTTTCTGCTTTTCTGCTTCGAGAAAAGCAGAGTTTACTGTTTCTTCATTCGCTGGCGGTCGAAAAGCGGCCATCTGCTTTTCTCCTTTCGAGCAGGCAGAAATTAGGATCGAACGTTTTGACAACAACCGTGAATTCTACTTTTTTTGCTTTTTTTCCATACCGGAGGAGCAATTTTACATAGTCGGCCGAAAAGTGGCCATCTGCTTTTCTGCCTTCCCAGGACTGTGAATGGGGTCTGAATCTGAGACTGAATTGGAAATGCCCGTGAAATTAAAGGTGGATTAAACTTGAGAATTAACCAACTTGAGAACTAGTTTAAACCTCAGTTATTCCCGGGAATAACCGAGGTTACTTTTAGGTGCCTAATTTTGTACCATCGGTCGAACGAGATTTATTCGTTTTACTTGGTCAAGAATCAACCCACATGAAAATCGAAGAGGACACTTGCTCACATACAAATAAAATGGAAAGAAGAGATGAATCTGATCTCGTCTACCGCGACTAATATTAACTCGCATTTATTTAGATGAAGCAGAAAATGTGGGCGGTAAATATAACCAGCGTTTCGTCTACAAAAATCCCAAATCTAAAACGGGCAAGATATTTAAAGAATTAGACGTTAAATTAACTGCAGAACAAGCGGGTCTCGTCTAACATAAAGTAAACCGAGTTTTGGAGGGTAAAATGTCCAGAGGCTTTAATTGCCGTCTGTTATCAAGACACCACAGAAGAAAATCCCGAAAAAGTAAAAGACCTGTTTCAAATCTCAGAGAAACATTTTACCAACGCCGTCAATAAATTTAAACTTTATAAAAAGTAAGATTTTTGAAAACCTATTTATAGTAAAATGGAGACGCACACTTTTTACTTGTCCAAAAATCCTCATACGTTCAAGTTGAAAAACGTCATTGACAACTCAAAAGGCGACAAGGTCATTTCAGTTAAAAATATTTTGTTTGAAAAGGGTTACACGTTGGCATCAGATAAACTTGCTTACGCATATTGCCCTCAGGTGGATACCAACGTCAACTTTTGCAATGAGCAGTCGTTTGATTTATTGCAAGTGATTTCGACAAATAGATATTTCCGCAGCGATTTTGAAACGACTAGAAAGCTAAAAAAACCCCCATAAATATAGACGAATTAAGTTTTTATGTCAGGAGCGAAACTGGAGGGATTTGGCAAAATGAAAACGACGGATTAATTATCGAACTAAACATTTTGACCGCGCAAATATAAAACGTATATTTTAAAAAGATGACGGCAGACAGTCAGTCGAAAATGTACACTGATTTAAGCGGGTATCAAACCGAAACAAACGCGACAAAAATTTACCGCCTTCAAAAACTCGAAGACGTTCGAGGACAGGTTTTAAGAGAACGCGACGCACGAGAAACTTCTTACAAACTTAAAGATCAAACGGATATTAACCGCACTTAATAAAATACGGCGTCGAAGCACTGGGAGCCACATCAGCCGCCATAGGCATTCCCACCATATTGGGGGTAATTACCAGCCCCTTAGGACTTGTGATGGAAGGTCTTGCCCTCGAAGCATTTGGGGCTTACGCGATGTTAAAGTACGCCTCCCTCAGATTTTCTCACAAAACCAAAAAAACACGATCAAATCCGCGTGCTTGCAGACGCTAAATTATACATCATCGACGAATACGTCTCACACGCGATCGAATTGTACAAGCCCGTCAAGTACGAGGATCGGTAACCTGCTTACCAAATATCACGAAAGAAGTAAAACCCACCGCGCCTCCTTTTTAAAAAGCTTTATTTAAAAGATGGGACACAACTTTAGTCATTTAGCAATCGTGGTAAATAAAGATAATTGGTTCTCCGCCGAGTTTCCGAATTTAACCGCGGTTTACAAGTACCGAGAGTTAAAACAGACGAAGCCTTTTTGCGTTGGACAACCGACCCCATTTCATTTTAGCAAAATCAGTTCAATTTCGCGGTGTATATATTGAGCAACGACGGCATGCAAGGTGGGTTTCCATCTATTATCCGATTATCCGATTATCCATGTCTGCCCTGTTTAGCTTTCAAGTATATTACGCGGTACGAAAAATATTTTACGACTGCGTGATGCCCATTCTGAGCGACGACATCTTTGATGCCTTGCACAACAATTACGATCATCGGAAATTACCAACACTTGCCTACTGTTTAACGTCGACCAAAATAAATCGTTTAAACAAACGAGGGACACTACATCAAACGGATTGGGCACGGCTTACTATTACGACTACGGATATATACCAGTTCCCGGCAAAAACAACGACTCCCACGATTTGCACCTAATAAACGGCAACTATGCCGGAGCCACTTACATGGGCTTTAGTTGGGCTAAACCGACTAAAGCCTCGGGCCACGCGAGTACTTCACCGTGACTTGGATTACACAATCTGACGCCGTAACACTGGCTTGGTGGGATCTTATTCCTAACAAATCTTAACTAACAGACGTGGGAATTACAAAGGTCAACAAATCCATCAGGGCTTACATTTATGCGTAGTTGGGAGCTCAAATCCTTAATTAAATCGGTGCCATATTTGGAGGCAAGTATCGACCAATTTCAAGATTCTTTGAAGTACGCGAAAACACCTTTAAATTTCGTAGTGGCACCTGGTTTGTACTTGGTGCCCTCCGACATGGACTTCCGCATTAGAACGTTTGAATGATACAACAACAATTTACAAATTACGTTCCTGAGACCACCGACTTTGATAAACAAGTTACCGAAAAAGTTACAGAGACGAAATCTTCTCCGAAAATTTAACCAAAGCCGGATCTTATACCAAAAATATTACAGGGAAGAGCACCGCTAGAAAAGAAACCGTTGGATATTCACAACGAAGAAAACTTATCATTGACCGTTGGCATGATTGCGGTTGCAGGATTTGTTATTTATGCTCTACAACGTGTTAACTTAGGCCAAAAAATCAAAGGCAAAAACATTTAGTTAAAACTACTTACATCTTTTGAACATAGGTCAAGATTAAAACGCCCACGCCCACAAACAACGTCCACGGGTGATCGGCGATCCAACCAACCGTCTTACTCGCCACGTTTAATATCCAACTTAATATACTACCGATCAACCCCGGTAAAGCCGCAAGCGCTTTCAGACCCAATTTCTTCAACACATTTGCCAAATTTTGACGGTGGTGCCGGTGTTGGTTTTCGTGCCGTGTCGGCGCTGGTCCCGGTGTTGGCCCCGGTTCCGGAGTACCGGCAGCTCTGACAGAGGCAACAACGCTCGCTACGATGGCACTTACCGCTTAACAAAAAGCCGTTAAAATACTTACGATAATGATGCCTTGTTCTCTAAAAACCACCTTAATCTTTTTGCCCAATGTCAAGTCTGCTTCGAACGTATCTTTTATGCGATTGATTTGACTCCGATTTGATCGGTATTCTGTTGATGATTTCTAACCCACCTCGCCTTACGACTTGTAAGTTGCCCAATTGTTCTAAAAGTTCCGCTCTTTCCGCATCGGTAGTAGCTTCTTCCAATTCATTTTGACCAGTTGAATCTTTTCGTCCAATTCGTCGAACTTGCCCTAGTTTTAAAGTAACTTGGCTTTGAATGTCTGTAAAGATTTGTTTAGAGCTTCCAATTCTCGAAAGTTTAATCCTTCGGTCTGTACCTGCCTGTCTTCCGTAATCTTAACGACTATGTCGCTAACTTGGTCTGCCTCTTCGGGCAATTCTTCCTTTGCGACCGTTTCGGTTTGATGGTTTTTAAACTAGCCTGTGCTATTTTTATTCCGTAATTTTTGAAACCCAATACATTTCTAACAAATCCCTTTTCCGAGTACCCGACGTCCATGGCGTTTTTGACTATCGTGTCCAAGGTAACCAATGAATTGGGACTTTTTTTGCTGGTTAATAGTACTTCTCTAGTATATCTATCGCCCATTCCCTAAACCTCTATTTGGTCGATATTCAAAAATTTCGCGCTGGGTTGTTGGTGGGCTTTTCGCAAGTCATGCGAATTTGGTCTCTGAAACCGCGGTCGTTTAAGGAAGAAAAAGCCGCCTTTTCGTTTTTAGTCTTTGGTTCGTCCTGGATTTGGCATCGGCATTGAGATTCTTTGGATGGATAGACAGGTTTTAACAGATCCTGCAGGCGTTGCATTTCTCGTAGATTTTTTGCAATTCGTGCTACCAAGCGAGGGGCTTTGGATTGGCAAATGTTTTATTGATTCCGGCAACTTCTCTGGACAGTGATTGCACAAATTTAACGGCCACGTCTTGGCCTCTGTAGGTTTCGCGACTTGTGCAAACGCCGTTGCATCTAACGACCGTGTAAGAATAGCCGCATGGCTTGCGGTGGTGTACTTTGACCGTGTTTGACGGTTGTGGTGGGAAGCGCTCCAAAACAGACTCGAAATCTGCGTAAATGACCGCGAAACGGTCGTCTTGTTTGTTATTGTAGTTTTCAAACTTGAGAATATTTTAGCCTTTTACGGGTAACTGTACTTTACAAGGCGCCGTGTCCATTCCTTAACTATCTTCTTTGTTCAGTTTGAAAGTGAGACAGGCAATTCAAGCACCAATACGATTTGCCGTTGTGATTGCTGACGTCGCCCATCAACCGAGAGACACTTTTAATCCTGCAGTAAGGGCTCGTTTCACCTCGAGTAAAAAAAGAGTAAATTGACGGGCTCACTAATGTGTTTAGTTTAATAAGGTATGTAGATGCCGTCCTTACCCTTGTAACCAAATACCAAAATGACTCGATGCGCGGAATTTGCGACAAGGGTGCGGAAAAGTCTATTTTTGCGAAATTTAAACCGTCGTCTCTAGTAAAAGTTGAAGTTCTATCCTCGTGTATTTGATAATTTGGATTGGTTTCCAACTGATTTTTTACATTGTTGGAATATAATTTTAAAGCAGCTCTCAACGCCCAGCGAATGCACTCTTGATCAGCTTTGTTTTGAACATTATAATAATTGCAGTTTTAACTGCCAGTTCTTTAGGCTCGTGAGCTTCCAAGTCTCCGAGGCGCTTGCCAATTTGTTGGTTTAACGCATCTTTGACTGCTTGTTTAGAAACGACTACGTTATTTTTACTCGTAAATGTGAAAATGCCTAGTTTCGTTTCGACTCTGGGCTTTTCCATTTTGAATTTGACCTTGATGGCCGTTTGCAACTTTTTGTAAAAATCGTGAATCAAACGTGAATCAAGTCGTCGGCAAAGAAAGTAGTCGTTAGTTCCCAGTTTCTATAGTTGCCTTTAATCAAATCCCCCGGGGGTGGGGAAAGTCCCTAATGAGTTGGGGAAGCCCCTTGGTTGGGGAAAGTCCCTTCTAGGTTGGGAAGTCCCTTGGTAAAGGAAAGTCCCTTTTAGGTTTGGGGAACTCCCTTGGTTAGGGAAAGTCCCTTTTAGGTTGGAAAAGTCCCTTTTAGTCCGGAAGTCACAAGTTTTGGGAGAAGTCCCTTCTAGGTTGGAGAAGTCCCTTTCAGTCCGGAAGTCACGTGGTAAGGGAAAGTCCCTTCTTGAGCCCAACTTTTGTGTGATGTCGCCGTCAGCGATCAAATTCCACGGGGGGTGGGGAAAGTCCTTAAGTTGGGGAAGTCTCGTGGTCAGGGAAAGTACCTTCTAGACCAGGAGGCTGGTCAGGAACTCTCCATGCCTACTACTCTTCTGACGATCCCATAAGTCCAGATTAGGAGCTTAGATTTTGAAGGTAATTTTGAAGTTTTTCCAAATACGCAAGGTGGACGACAGACCATATTTCACTGGAATTGCAGGATTTTGTCGCTAGAATCTGACTATGGATTTATTTTTGAGATCTAGAATTAGGAAAGCAACAGTGCATCATCCAATCGCCCTGAGCCCACGTACACGTTGTACATGTAATCCCAAACCAACCGCTGGATGGCGAGTTCCAATCAGTAAAATTAAAAAAAAGTGCCCCAGAAAAAAATCATTGAACTTTTGATGACCTCCCGAAAACAATCCTGCCTTTTCAATAAGAGCAAATTAGGTTCTAGGAGTCTGAAGAAAGTGCCCAGGAAAAACCTCAGATTGCACCTTAGAGCATCTATAGAATTCAAAATTTCCTGGGGCCCTTATTAGCGGGCCCCGGACCCTACACCATAATGGCTTCGCGCTCCACGAACACGTGCCGCCCTCACCTGCCATAATATCAGGCTGTGGAGAACACTGAAATAAAAAAAAGAATGCGTTGTAGTAGTTAAATTTGTGGTTCCCATTGCCCGCCAACGTGAAATAGGATTATTGACAGAAAACAGCGAATTCCACCTATCTACTGGACTGAGAATTTTTCTTGAGTAGTTTACTAATTATCAGCGGTTACGAAGTAGGCACCCCCCCCCCGAAGAAAAGTCCCTGGAATTTTTTTGCGATGATCTCATTCGAGTCAATGAGGACTCTGGCCAATGGTGACCGTGGTAACGGTGACGTTCTAAACCCGTGTGATTCACCGCTGGAAACCCTTCACGTGAAGCGGCATATTAGCCTAATGAAGTAGTACGTTCATCTAGTGCCCGTAGTGCAGTGGGCATGGTGATTGTGCCCAGCCGCATCGCGCTGGTTTGTGCGGTTTTTACGTATGTAGTGTGTGTAGTAAGGGTCGTCCGAGGGCGTGAAGCGGCAAAAAAAAGGTGCCCTTAAAACCTGAAATGTTTTGTTTCACTGTTTGCAACATTTTAAAACACACAAATAAAATCTCAATCCAACTTTTCTTGCATTACCATTTTATGGTGCAAATAAAGTGATATAGCAGCATGGGTTCACCAAGCGGATGAATATTGCTGTTTATTTCAACGTTAGTGGGCAGGACTAGCCTGTAGTAGCCGCCATTTTGAGATCTGGAACCGACTGCCCATTTTCGGAGAAATTGATTGGGATTGTTGGCCTATCGGGGCTGAATATCTTCCTCATACTTTGTCCGTTTTTCAGTCAGTTTCACGATGTCGAATGAGGACGAAACGAAAAAAGAGCAGCTGGTACAGCGTGCCAAGCTTGCCGAGCAAGCAGAGCGGTACGATGACATGGCGGCAGCCATGAAAAGTGTGACAGAACTTCTAGATGTAGAATCGCCAAGCGCGTCCGGTCTGACGAACGAAGAGCGGAACCTGCTGTCTGTTGCTTACAAGAATGTCGTGGGTGCTCGGCGTTCGTCCTGGAGGGTCATCAGTAGCATCGAGCAGAAGTCCGAGGGCAATGAAAAGAAGCAACAAATGGCAAAGGATTATCGTAGCAAGATCGAGCGCGAATTAAACGAAATCTGTCACGATGTTCTGGTGAGTGGCTTTGGGGTGAACCTGCTTTGGCATGCAGTCACCTGTGTACGTAGCCTTCATGTACATGTACAATGTACAACAAGGGTGATGTACACACCCACTTCATGCACTTGCCAGTTGCACATGGCTGATAAGGTTGCCAGCGGTCAACTCATCCTGGGCAAAATCTATCTAGGGCCTATGCCTACTCGTCTCCGAAAACACTTAATGTTAGGCCCAGGCCATTGTCGATGTCAGGCTTGCCAACTTGAGCATGTTGTGCTTGACTTTTTAACATTTTGAACAAGTGGCATGCTGACTCCCTTGTCTGCTTGTGTTTTCATGGATGGTGACTGTGACTGCATGTTATGGTTCCTCAAAAAATGTTTGACTGTCGTAACTTTCAACATCAATCATGAACATGATGAAACTATGCATGCTAACATGGCTAGGCCTACTGTCATTTCAAATGTTTATTATTCATGCAGTGTTGACTTGCATGCAGTAAACTAGCAACAGTCATGACAGTGGATGCATTATCAGTTCATGATTGTCATGTTGGTCATGCTATTTTATTTAGCATCAGTGAACAAAAGTAGCGTCAACAAAGTATCAACAATTTCAATATACCCCGTACAGATTTAAAAGTGGTTTTATATTTTAAAGACTCTTAACACTTGCCACTGTGTAAGAGAAACACCAAATTTGCTTCCAGATTCTCACAGGAAAACAAAAATTTTCGTCATGTATGGAGGCCGCCATCTTTCTTCCCTCTGCCGTTCACGTGAAAACAAGATGGCGGCCGGTCGGACTGCACAACCAGGCCCGACTTCGTCACTCAAATTTCAACACTCAAATATCATTTCAGATAATACATTGAATTTGATATGTAAGATCCTAATTAAGATTTTATATAAAAAACCTTTGCATAAATATGCTTGAATAACTTGTTGACGCTAAATAGCATGACCTTTTCGTGTAGCCTAGACCTAGGCCTATCACAATAAGCCTTATCACAAATAGAGGGCCTACTGCATGGGTGATTTTGCACAATGGTAGAAAGGTATTGTGGGAAGTAAAAAGGTGCAAACATCGAACCTTTTGCCTTCCCACAATGCCTCTGTTACACCCCAACTGTAGCATCTGTTTCAACTATAGCTGGGACAGTCCCAACTGTTGTTCGGGTGGCCCAACTATTGTTGACCAATTTCTGAGGAAAATTTCTCAACCTTATCCAAGTTTATGCATCTCTCACTTAACACAATTCATCTAAAATATGGCACTTCTTCTATGACATGACATTATAAACAATATGACCTAGAAATGGCAGCGCAAGTCGCACCGAGTGCGCTGTACATGTACAGTACACATACCATACTTTACATGAACATGTGTCGCGATCACGCACACGGTTTGGTAGGTTCCCGATCTAAACATACGTTGTTGATGCACTGCACGCCAGGGCCATTTTAAAAACCATGGCATGGCACGGGATCCAGTTTTTGCTGCTTTTCTGCTGCAACGTAAATGAAACTTGAAATGGAGCTCATGCCGAAATTAAAGGGTGTCGCTGTGATTTAGAGTGTCAGAAAAAGCGCAATTCATGCAGCAGGGTGTCCTGCGACTGAAACTATGGACGTCCTAACGTCCGCGGCTGAACCCTTGGCGAAAACCCTGATTTCGTGGATTGACCTCATTGGCACTAAGCGCTTGTATGCAAGTTGTGTGGGGCTGTCCACGCCAGGTCATGATTCTTAGACATGATTTTTAATTCCCAACATGTAGGGCTCTGATACATGTACGTGTATACAAATGCCAATGAGTAATACAAGAAAAACTGCCTACAAGTTATTCCAAAACCGCAAACTTGACAGGGGCAATAGGGAAACAAAACCTTTTGACAGGCAGGTTGATGGGTGCATGCTGAAGTATCACGTTATGTCTTATCTCCTCACCAAAATAGACAATACAAACATGATGCTGGATGACTGAAACCACAAAGGATGCAGTCACTGTTGTGGATATAATTGTCTGCTTTCATCTTATGAGGCTTGTGGGAACATTCTGAACAAATAAGCCAGATTACCGCGGTATTGAAATTCAATACTGAAATAGTCGTTATTCTGGTATTAATGGATTGTTAGTCGGTATTCTCCGGTATTAAAAACAAAACTGCGGTATTCGGTAATACCGAAATACCGCCCAAGCCAAATTGCAATACTAAAATGTGAATCACGATTTAGGGGGGGGTACATCATGACTAAAATGTGCAGTAAATTGAAAATAAAGTTATATTAGGCTTCATACAAATTTTACATATGTAGCATTTTATTTTTGATGTTAACTATTCTCTTGCAAGAAATGGTTTGGACGGATTTAGTATCACGGACAACTTGCCGCACGTACATTGTACCTGGCAATAGCACTTAAAAGTGTCAGCTGGGCATGTATCGTGGATGTAACGGCGCGGCCAAATCTTCACACTGATTTCGGTGTCATGAGAAAATCGGATTCATATCAGACTTCATCCTTTCATTTGTTACACCACAGTCAGGTTAAGACAGGTTTTTTCTTCCTTGCATAAGTACTGATTTGTCCTTTTTCTACCAACGACATACTTTGCCAGCCCTCGTTCAGACACCGAACAGTACTGGAGCTCCGTAATGCATGCGACTGAATCTACACTGCCGTGCAAAAGTCCGATCGCACCTACGTGCACAAAATATTTATTCCTATTAATCATTAAATGCAATAAAGATGTGAATAAAAACTATGCCCGTGTCTTTGGTAATATCCATATTCCAATAAATTCATGTTTTATTTCATGAATCATTTCTTCAAAGTCACCAAAATGTTAAAAAATGACATCGTTTCTGTTCCATGTGCACAAAGTGAATGGAGAGTATCCTCATTAACATATCGTTATCGGCAAAATCCAAGATGGCAGCGCCCCGTTTCCGAAAAGCATGAAGGATGGCCCATGGATTGTAGTGTGTTTAGGCCCTGTGAGCGTCAATAACGGCTTGACACCTTCTTGGCATTGAAGGCAAGAAATCCTTGATAATTTGGCAGTCCAGTCCCTCCCAAATCTTGAAAAAGTCCCTTAATTCTGAGGCCTGTCTTCACGCTGAACGCGGTCATTACGGGTGACCGTCCGGGGCTCGCGGGCCAGGCTGGCCGGAGCTAGCTGTCTGACTTTCGGATCCATGCATGACGCTGGGCTCATGCCTGGCAACTTGCCTATGAAGTCCTGCATCAGCCAATTGGCTTGATACAGCCGTGAACTGCAACGCTGGTCACACTGGACAGATCAACTTCGAGCTCAGGGGTGACACCAAGCAGGCGATCATGAACCCAAACCTGTTGCCCCTCTCGGTCGTTGCCCGTGCACAGCATCACGGACATCAATGGAAATAAACTCCCTTTACGTCCTGAGATCAGTTCTCACGTAATACTCGCCAATTCCGAGTCCTCTCTTTAGGAAGTCCCCTCCCGATGCCAAGCCCCGATCATCCCTTTTCATGGTTGGTAAGTGGAGTATTCCGAGCTATTGTTTTGTTTCAAAAGGTCATAGGTAAGCGATTCAGATGCGAAGGAGAACTCCCTTCATGTAGCCTGGCCTGTCTAATTTCCATTTTTGTGAATGGGGGTTCCAGTTTGCCTCATAAATATGAATTACAAAGCTTTTCCCGCTGCGCGAACTTTGTTGCCATTGGTTTAAATGTCAGGATAATGATATTCATGACCTCATGAATACGTAATGAGGCAATCCAAGATGGCGTTTTAACACGTTGCAAAAACCCGTCGCGAAATCGTCATCATTATTGAGTGGCAGAAATGTTTTCAGACACTAGAAACATGAATTTATTCGACTAAAATAAAGACACATCACATAGGTTTGGTCCTTTATTCACAAATCAGGATATTTTACAGGAAAACAGTTGTTTGAAATCGTGCAATCACGTGCGATCGGACTTTTGCACGGCAGTCTACTTACCTGCCCCGCCAATGCAGTGTTGCCTACCCTGAAACGGAATGAGCAGCGTCTCCAAAAGAGATCCAGCACTTGCCGTTGAGCACTCCAAGAAAATTCGGGACCTGAAGGATGCAGGACTTGTGGGTGTGCTCACTGCAGAAGAAAAAGGGAGGAACCTAGAGCGACAATGGTATATCCCACACCATGTTGTTCATCACAATGGGAAAACATGACTGGTGTTCAATTGTGCGTTCACATATCGGGGAGAATCTCGTAACGACTATCTGCTCCCTGGGCCTAACTTGGGTTCATCACTAGTTGGAAGTGCTGGTTTGATTCAGACAGCATGAGGTAGCTGTCTCCGGTGACATCAAGGCGATGTTTCACTGTATACACACTTTGGAGTGTGGCCGATACTTGCTTTATTTCCGATGGAAGGATTTAGACCCCCATGCCGAAATGGAAGAATTGGAGTGGAACGTACTCCCATCTGCATCACCTGCAGTCTGAGCTGTATCACCTTCGCCCTGCAAAAGCACGTGAAGGACAGGTTCCCAGATCCGGACGCAGTCAGAAATGTTTTGAGATCATTTTATGTCAACAGTTGCCTCGATGGCAAACCTAGCATCCCTGAAGCAAAGAAGCTGGTTGAGAAACTGTGCCGAGCACTTGGTGCCGGAGGGTTTCCCATTGTGAAATGGGCCAGCAACTTCCCCAAAAAGTGCCCATTCCTGCAGCACTGAGAGAAGGCTGAGCTCAAGTTGTGATTCGCCCGAGGAGGCAGCCTTAGGGCAACACTGGAATTTCCGGCCGGACACCCTCAGCTACAAACTCGAACTTCGTGAGTGGCCGGTCCTCACTTGAACAGCGGTTCTCAGTGATGTGATGAGATGTGCTGGGAAAGACCCTCTCGGTTATCTCATGCCATATATGGTGAGGGAAAAGTGCTTGTCCAGGAGCTTTGGAAAAGACCTTTGGGTTGGGATGAAGAGATTCCCGATAAGGGCGAAGATGGCCTATACGCCCAACATATGAGATGGCAGAACGAAATTGCCGACCTTTCCCTTGTGCACGTGCCTCAGTGCTACCTCCCATGGTACTTTGATCCTATGGATGTGTCATACCAAATACATGTCTTTACCAACGCCTTGGAGAAAGTCTATGGGGCCATTGCATATCTCTGGGCCACTGCTCAGTCTGGCGACGCAAGTGTCAGGTTTATTATGGCACGATCTCGTTTGGCACAAAAGGTGTGCAAACCATCCCTCGGCTGGAACTTCAAGCCGCTCTTTGTGGCACGGAGTTGGCAGAGCTCCTCGAGGACGAATTGCAGTTGAACTTGTTCATTACTTGTTGGAGTGACAGCACAACAGTTCTCTGCTGAATTACCTCTGAATCTTGCAGGTACAACCGTTTCGTCGGTGCTCCCATCGCAGAAATTCAGAGGCTCACAGACCATACCATGTGGCGGTCATGGACGCTGCCCAGAACCTGCGGATGACCTGACCCGTGGATTGACGCTCAACGAGCTGACTACGCAGAGTCGGTGGACTGCTCCGCCTTTCCTCTCTTGTCTGAAGAGGATTGGCCTAGATTGCCATCGCCCACGCAACCTGATAGTGACGTGGAGTGTAAGGACAGTCGATTCACTGCTGTTACGATCTGCAATCTAGGAAAGGATCCAGAGATCAATGCGACCCGGCATGCATCCCGGGATGACTTAGTTGATGCATGTGGGCGGATGCTGTACAAAGCTGACGGAGAAACTAACCTAGATTTCCTCAGCGCCGACCAACAGATAGAGACCGAACATGTTCTCTTCATGAAGGTGCAAGCTGAGAGCTTTCCGAATGATCTTGCAGTTTTTTAGCGGGCAATCCAATTCCGAAGAAGAGTTGTTTGAGTGAACTTGCCTCACAGATTGACACCGATACACAGCTTATCCGGGTTGGGGGAAGACTCCGACGAGCAGAGTTCGATCTTGATGTAAAGCACCCTGTCGTACTTGAAGGCAAACACCCGATCATCCAATTGCTAATCAAAGATGCAGATGAACGTCTTGGGCATCCTGGAACTGGTACTGTACTTGCAGACATGCTTCGATGATTCTGGTTGCTGCACGGTTGCCAGTCCATCAGAAGTCTCCAAAGCAGATGTACGGGATGCCTCAAACAGAGTGGTCAACCATCAGTGCCCAAGATGGCAGACATGCCGTCGGCACGCCTGCGAATTGGGAAGCCAGCATTCTACTCCACAGGGGTAGACTGCTTTGGACTTTCCCCAACAGAGATGAGGAATCATATTGAAGTGCATGACGACCAAAGCCACATACTTAGACTTGCTTGAGTTTATTGATGCCGATGCATTCCTTCTTGCATTCAATAGGTTTCGTTCACGACAAGTGATGTGCGACAATGGGACCAACTTTCAGGGAGGTCTTTCCAGATTAGTTTAGGGGCGGCTATGTTGCGATTTATATAGCAGTATAAAGGGCACCTCCAAGGGAGCCTGCCGCAAACTGATGAAGCAGCCGCAGGAAATGAAGAGTGTGGGGCTGGCTACAGATGGTGAGCAACAATTTCCTGTCTTAAAAACCCTATATCCATGATTACTCCTAGTTATTACATCAGTGATTATTCCCATTGTTAAGAACAAGTTATTGTTTAGACCATTATGAATATATTAGTGTTCTAACTTTCTGTGTTTTTGCTGAGCAAAAGGTCACACCACACGAAGTGTCGAAAATAGATGCCCTTCCAATCATACACGTCCCATGTCGCATGTAGGACTGTACACTTTTGCACACACGAAGTTAGTGGAGTATTCCTGTTCCTTTAATACTTAATGATTATCAATGCTGTTATATTTTTCAGAACTAACTCTCCAATGGTCAGAGATCTTCCATTGATCACTGATCACTGCATCTTGACTGAGCACTAGTCTCTCCACCAGCCCTACATTATTTTGTTCCCACCAATTTCCATGAATATCATCATATGAATAAATTGAATAAATGGTGCCCGTGCTCAATGAACACACACACACCGAAGGACTCCCGAGTCCTCATTTCTCCTTTACACTTAGGACTTTGGGCAGCTTTGTTTACTCGCATTTTGGAAAAACTGTTGAGTTCAAAGTGACCTTTGGTGAGCTTGTGTGCATTTCTAATGGCCAGCTGTGAGTCCTGGTGATAGAAATAAGGGCCCATTTAATAAGTTTGCATCCCTCTTTTCCATTGAATTTAAAGATGTGTTTCTCTAGGTTTGATCTTGTATTCTTCAGTAGGTGCGATCATGCATGAAGAAGATCTTCTCTTGGCCATGGACGATGAAAGGCTGATCAGCTGTAACTGAAAGATTTTTGAACATTTTGCTGTTTCAGGAACCCAGATGCTGAATGCTTTCCATTAGTAATGCTTCAAGGTGAGTAGCACTTGTGGCATCTCTTGATGAAAATTAACCAAGAGGTTGTTTCCACTAACTGAATAGACCTCTCACCATGAATACAAGGGCATGATTTGCAGGCTTAGATGTTCTGCCCAATGATCCAAAATCTTCAAAACCCTCTATTCTATCTTCTTTGATGTTGTATGACAGGCCTGTTGGCAGACTCATTTCATCAAATGAAATGACACAAAACCTATCCCTTTCAGTCATTGAAGTAACTTTATCTCTCAACAGCTCCAAAACACTGGGAGGAAAGCCGGGGCTTACCTCAACATTTCTCAATGAAAATACCCCGACAGAACTGGTAAGCACGAGGACTCTGGTGATACAAAGAGAAAGCTATGATTTTGTCTCTGTAGCTCCATTTCCCTCCTTTGGCCTTACATCGACATGACACGTTCCTCAATTGGGATGCAAAGAATGATAATGCAGGCTTTTCAAGGAACTGGTCAGCACCTTTGATTACTGTATTAATTGATTGGGTACCTTTAGTTAGCTTCTCCAAGGAATTTTTCAGCTCCTTAACTCTTTTCCTCAGTCTACATGTTCGAATGTGCTCCTTCTTGAGCAGTTTCTTTGGGCTTCACTTTGGGATGGACTCAGGAGCATCAGATGATTACTGGGTGATTGTCTTTCCTTGGGAGCTTTGCAGTATGAATGCTCAGTCTGTACAGCACTGAAAACAAGCAAATGAAAACCAAAAAAGAGCCATGGTCAATTTTTGAGTTGAGATTCTGACACAAGTAAAGCAAGCCCTTGTGGCATCAGTTTTTGCTTTTTTGTTTAAACCAATGCCCCATGAGAGCATATAATACACGTGCATGTACCTAACCTACTGAGCTGCATTAACAAGGCATCTATTGTGTTTGGGTTGATGTTGGCCTTTGGTGACTTTTTCTATCCTTTTTATTGAAAATTTGCCCTCAAAATTGTCAAGAATGCGGGATAATTGGTTCACATAAATGCTTGGACACGGTCTAGAAAAACTTACAAACAAAATATTATAGCCCTGACACTTCCACGGTTTCTGAATCCTTCAAAATAGGGCAATACAAGTGGCAGGTCTCATGAAAAATTAGGTACAGTGTAGTTGCTTTATCACAGACTTGTTTGTGTGTTAATGGTATACTACCCCTATTTGATTTCATTTTTTTTGAGAATTTAGAATTGAAAAGGTTTAACTACTTGAAACTGAATTAAAACAACACTTGTATTTAAAAATTAATACAATCCACATATATCCTGAGGTGAAGTTGTTCCATTTCTGGCAGACATCAGAAATGTGCTTCCAACTTGCCTTTAATTTGCTTATTTTATTTTTGCTGCATTCACATTATTTGTAATACATTGTATCGTGTTATCAATTGTGTGGTGTTAAGTCTGTAGAGACATGTACAGAGTGGAATTTACTGAAATCAAAAGAAAAAAAGATGAGAGGAAGGACTATAACCAATATTAATTCACACATGACACACACCTGAAGGTCCCCCAAAAAGTATTGACCATTATCTAGGCCTTTTTTTTCTTTGAACTAGCCACTCAGTGGTGGGGGTGACATCAGGAACCACCTGACTCATCGTTTCTTCTTCTGTAAAAGATGATGGAGAGTGAGAACACAAAAACAAGGAATGTGAACAACGGTGCATGATATACACATGGCTGAAGTTCTTCAAAAGAACGTTGACCATCATTAATGCCTTGTGTTCTTTGTACTAGCCACTCAATGGTGGGGCACACCAAGAACCATGTGACAAAATATTGTCTTCGTGAAGACTTCTTCAATAACAAATGATGCAAGAACAAGAAAAATATATATTATGAGCTATTTGATTCTTAAACATCACCACAGAGTGCCTTTTCCTTCCTCCGTGATATGTAGAAGGAAACTAAAAAAAGGTATTAGGTGGGTTAAGCCTTTGTTTCGAATTAAGTGAGACTTGCGATAATTACGTGCATGAACAATTTTGACATATACTGGTACCTTAGAGTTAAATAAGAAAACATTATTATGAACAATTGAATTCCAAAACATCAACATGGAGTGGATCTGCAGAAGAGAACTCAACTAAAAAGAGTGCATAAGGCTGGTCAAGCGTGAAGACTATTGGTAAATATAGGACTATTCTTGCGAAGAAATGTGCCTTTGCATTCCAAAACTTCAGCACAGAAACAATCTGCAGAAAGGAACCACAACTATGCATAGAGCAGGTTACATAGCTGTTGTGTCAAATGAATTCAATTGCATGAGACTGATAATTTTAATTAACTACATGTACACAGATAGCGAGTTTATACCATGAACTCAATTTGCCACTACAACTGATTTGTCACTAAACAATTTCTCATTTGTCACAGTCCTTTGCTCCTATTTTATGGTGGCTATAAAATCCGAGTGCTTCAGTGCTTTCATTGAGCTTTTTAAATAACTGTCAAGCACTATGGTTGGTGCACAAAGTTTCTCCACGAAATATTTTGAAAAGGGGTTTCTGATCTTCCTTACCTTTAAATTTCTGATTAGGTACTCTCTGTGTCAGATCCTCAAAGTTCCTCTTGAAAGGCCTGCGGGCTGGAGTTGTAGATTTGGAGGGATTGGAGACATTAAAAATAGTAGAGATGGCTTTTCGTTTCAGGCTATGTTTAGCCAGCTTGTTTTATACTGACTATCTTCAAAATGCTCTGAGCACAAATGGCAATTGGTACTGAGATACAGTAGTGTCTTCTTCTTTAGATCTATCCGTCAAGTGTTTTGGACCCATTGCAGACATCTGCAGAAGTAAAATGTGAAAGACAAATGAGTTGGGAAAAGATCAAGTATATGAGATAATGAGATTTTATATGTCTAAAGCTGCTCATCACCACAATATAAATGTTTATATTCGACTTTCAATTTTGTGTCTTAAATTTTTCAACTGTGTACAGTGTGTTAGTGTTGAAAATATCCTTGTACATGTATATTTTATTGCCGTAAAAATAAAATATGCCTATATTTAGGCTTATTAGCACATCCCATTGCTTTGTTTTTATAATTCTTACACAGGTTTTTCAGAAAAAACATGTTGAATTGGGCATGGGTTAATTGAATTTGCATTGAAGGCAATATTATCGCACCACGCAATATGATTATCATTCTGAAATTAACGGTAGTGTTTGACGATGGTTTGTGTTCTCGTATAAATAACGAGTAGGTCTACCGTAGCCTCAGGCCGAATGTCTTACACTTGTTGCTGTCATAATGTGTTAACCAACTGTCCCCCAGTCAAAGCTGGCACTAATTTTCTTAAGTTGAATCTAGACATACCAAACCAAAGCCTAAGTATGCAAGTACGAAAAACGGGTTTTTCTTGAGCTTCAGAAATGGCACGGAGCTAAGCAAGCTTAGGCCTAGCCTAGGCCTGTGTTAAATACATACGAAGAAAACCGTGACACATTAACAGCTTGAGCGGAAGAGAAGAAGGGGCAAAATATTAAACATAATTCATGTAAACTCTCTTTATTTGGGGGGAATCTGAAAAAGACAATTCTGGGCGTTTGCACTGCCTATTGCAGCATTGCGGTGCCGAACAGTGGGCAGAGGATGACGAATTTCTGCTGCCAGACGCCATTGCCAATATTGAAACATCCGGGGACTTTAGAAAACGTTGCTTACTCGAATGGCCGCCGCAGCATACCACGTAGCCAATTACACTTTCTGCCGGTCAGTGATCCATCTTGCGCGGCGTTATACTATCTTTGGCATCACTAGGAGACCCGACCCACTCTACGTGGGGAAGGAGTCTCCTGCATTCACATGCCCCTGCCCAGTCTACATATGCAGAGTGGCACCGTACCCTGGAGGTGGGTCGGTGACGAGAGTATAATAACAAGGAGAACATAAGACGGGCGTCATAAGAGTGGACACTCACCCAGCGACCCTACTAATTCTAGCTATCAACCGCCCTGTCCGGAGCAGCACTGGATGTTGCCTGGACCGCTGAGCGCAGGGTCGCTCTGCCATTGGCCGTTTTGCTCCGCAGAATATCTTTCAGGTAGAATTCGGTGAAGGTGGAGGGAGATTTCAGCTAGAGGAACCCCTCTGAAGTATGACCAGGATGTAGAGGCGGCCCAAACATCGTGGGCCCTGATGTAAGCCCGAGTCGTTTCATCATGCTGTGCTGGCCAGTCTCGATTAGCAAAGATGATGGCCAAGACCGTGCATCGGGCAATAATGTCCTTAGACACTGGGTGAAAGGGTTTCGTCGTGGTGACGAAAAGTTGGAATCGGATTCCTGGCGACGTTAGGTTCTGGTAATATACCACAATAAGAGTCTGAACCTGGCACCCTTTCTTGTCAGTGTCGTCTCCTGCAAGTGAGGTTATATCAGGAACGAATATGTTGAGAGATCGGAAGGTAGACGTCTGGTTTTTAGTCAGAAACCTAATGGTTGGGATGAGACAAACCCCATGTGGCTCCGACGGATGTGACCATCGGCAATTGATTGGGCATGTAGCTTGCTACCTCGTCTCGATGTAACTACCGGCAGAAGGAACGCCAGCTTGACGCTGAGACGGAGGTTAAATGCATCAGCCAACGGTTTGAAGGGGGACCGGCAAGAACTCGTGGAACGTTTCCGAGATCCCAGGATAAGACGAGGCGTTTGACGTGGGGACGCTCAACAAACATTCCTCGAAGAAGATAGTGGATCGCAGCATTGTCGGAGACAGTCGACCCATTGCTGCAGCCCGAGTGGGACAGCCACCAAGGCCGACCAATAGTCCTGGATGGTGGCACCTGGAGGCCCGAGTGGAACAGGTACATGAGGAAGTCCGCGACGGAGCTCACAGGAGCTTTGGACGGAGAAACATTGTGGTCATCGTCCCATCTAGTAAAATGTTGTAGTTGGCTGTTGTAAGTCTTGCGAGTGGATAGTCGTCGACCCTAGACCGCCATGGACGCAACGTCTGCAGAAAGGCCCGACGCTCTAAAGGATCGTTGGACAAAGTACAGCATGTCAAGTGAAGACCCTCCGATGCTGGGTGGAGGATCCTCGACTTGGGCTGACAGAGGATGTCCGCCTTGCCCGGATGGACCAAGGGTCGTTGTACCAGGAGTCTTGTCAATCTTGGAAACCACGGTTGGCGAGGCCAGAATGAGGCGACGAGGAGGATCCGACATGGCTCCCATGGGATGAAGGAGATTCTAGGAAAGGCGTACGGCAGAAGGCCCGACCAGTCGATGTGTGGGGCCGTATAGATATGTTGCCCAAGCCAGTGGGTGACAGAATCTGGAGCAAAACGTCGGAAGATGGGCATTACCGGCGGATGCCAAGAGGTAGATTTGATCGGACGATGATGAGGACGTTTGATCTCCGCAAAGATCTGGCTGATGAAGACTCCACTCCGTAGGTCTGAAGGCACCCCAAGAGAGTGCATCTGCCATGCTGTTGCTGGTTCCTGCTATGTGGACGGAGTGGAGGGTTATGCCTCGGTCATTTGTCGACATGAAGAGCTGCGAGTTGTAGCTCTGGACTTGAACGGAACGACTTACTAGATGTTGTCAAAAGTGGCGAAGAGCATTTAACACCGCTTGAAATTCCAACACATTGATGGGCAATTCCATGGTTACTCGTGTTACGTTTTTCGTATACTTTTGAATTTCTTTGGGCTGTAATTATTTTCCTGTAAATGTTCAGTTATTGTTAACTCCATAGTATTTAGGGCATACCTAGGCCTATCTAATAACTGAAGATAACAATATAAAAAAGCATTAAGCAAGACACATAAGGCGCACAAGATCGGTTTTACTCAGGTTACATTTTTGGACAAAGCCAACAAGCTTTAATCAAAAAGTCTCCTTATACCAACAAGCTTTGGAAAGTTCTTTTGACTGAATTAAGAACCATGCCATGAGGCACAAATAGTGAAAGTAATTTAACTTTTGGAATCTTTGGTTTTTTAGAAATCCACGAGACATCTGGTTACTCATGTTACAGTTACTCATGTTACGTAGTGCAAAACACATAAAAAGGCATAATCTAACAAATTACCTTTACAAATTTTGACCTACTTATGTAGAGTTATCATTAACAAAATATATATTTATTAAATTTTTTACAAGCAAAACAACTTTCAAGTATGTTCTTACCCCCAGAACTATGGGGGCCGACATCTACCCCACTACTTCGTGGGAGCGGGGTGGATGCTGGACCCTACAGTTGTAGGGGTAGCATATTCTGCCAATGCAGTAGTAGAAGGACAGTTCAGGATCAACCCCCTGCTCCAGAAAAGGACTTCCCCTATATATAAATAGAGACATGAGTACGCTAACAAAACCTCGGAAAACTCGCTCTCCCCCGAAGGTTTGAAAAAAATGAAAAAACTTGTAAAAGCCTATAAATAAGTAGAGACATGAATACAAAAACAAAACCACAACGTCATCCAATCTTATCGGTATTTAGGGGATTGAAAAAAATCATTTTTATCCGACTTTGTCAAACAACATAACATTCCATTACTACCAGCTAAACGTAAACAACACACCAAGCCGGAACTCGTTCAAGCATTTCTTTGCCGATGACTTGACACACTTTTTCAATTTTTACAAAAGGTCTATCGAAGACAAAGCGTTGGCCGAGTTTAAAGAGATAGGCTCTTACAAGTTGCAAACGGCAATCGAGGTTAAGTTCGATATGGAAAAGCCGGGAGCTGAAACTAAACTAGGCATTTTCACGTTTACGAAGAAAAACAACGTGGTGATTTCTAAACTGATTTCTAACGCCGAAAGAAGGCGTCTAGATACTGTGACGGAAAGTGTATAGGACTAAAGCTAGTCTAATTTTATTAATGAGTTGCAGTGCACGTACCTGATTGGCTAGTGACTTGGTAACGTGTGCTGGCTAGGCATAGCGTGTGCACATGGTCGTGCTACTGCAGTGAGCGCTGCGATCGCATTATAGTTGGTTGCTTGTTGGACTTCGCAGAGTGAAATTGGTGAGTTGGCACGGAGCTAAGGCATTGTCA